TTCCCCACATCCTCGCCAGCACTTGTTGTTGTTTGATTTCATAGTGGCTGCCAATCTTACTGGAGTGAGATGGTATCTTAGGGTGGTTTTGATTTGCATTTCTCTGACTGCTAGAGATGGTGAGCATTTAACGGCCCCACCCACCAGGCAAATGGCTCCCCCCCCCCCAGACGATGTGAAGGGAATCTAACCAAGCCTTTATGAAATAGAAATATAGAAAATTTTCTATATTAATCTTTCAAAAATGAAAATGTATTCAATGTAGCCCATCCCTTAAATTAAAATGTTATTATTGTTCATGGGGTGAGAAGTTGATGACAATTATAAATGTTTTCTGAATGAAGATTACAAAGTACAGATGTGATAATGTTTAGTAAAAACATATCTAAGTTATATTGCACAAAGATGTGATGATGGTTTTAGAACTTGTAAGCCTATATTAATGTATTCAATTGTTCTCCAAAGCTGGAGATATCTATGTTTGCTAATTTTGAGGGATGATCATATGCAGGATTTATATAGACTGAGTATTAATATACTTTTTATTCTTGTTTTTTTAATATTTATTTTTTATTTGTACACAATACATTTATTTTGTTTATTTACTTCAATGTGGTGCTGAGGATCAAACCCAGGGCCTTGCACATGATAGACAAGCACTCTACCACTAAGCTACAACCCCAGCCCCTTAATATACTTCTTTTATAGCAAATTCAAGCCTTTTGAATTAATATCATAAATATGCAAGTAGTAGTATTCTTGATATTTTTAGATGGAAGAGTATAGGTAGCATTAAAGCAATGCCATATATAAAATAAACATATTAAAATTGTATCTTACACTTTACTCACACTGTGATATTGCTATTTTATTTAAAAAATGAAATATAAATTCTCAAGAGTGGCCATGCTTATATAGCAATTTCAACAACTCTTTGGAAGATATATTTCTAAGAAGCTATGTAAAACTTTAAACATCTTGGGCAAAGAAGAGGGAAAGTTATGGTGGTAGTAGTTATCTGTAATGGACATAATAAAAATGAAATTTTATGTTTTTAATTATATGTCTTTATTTGACAACATAATTAAAAAATTTTATGGTTGATGGTTGCCCATTGGTTTTTTTTATTGTCCCTGAATTTTGAATAAATCAAATTACTCTTTACCTTCTACTATAGTGCTTTGTAAAATACAATTGTAAAGCTATTTTTAAAATAGTACCTTTTCTTAAACAAAATCATAAAGACTACCCACATTATATTGAAAATTTCTTATGCAAATTGAATGATTTGACTATGTATTCATTTGAAGATGTATGGGCCTACCTATGAACAAAATGTTCAAGAAATATTCTAATTCCTTTATTGTCACTGAACAAAGAAATGTGGTTGTCTTTAATGACAACTAAAGACATCAACCTGGCATCTTGATTATTTTTTATTTTTTTATTTTAATTTTTGCAGGGGACAGGGTTTGTGGATTGAACCCAGGGGGTATTGACCACTAAGTCACATCCCCAGCTTTTTTTTTTTTTTTCAATTTTGAGACAAGGTCTTGCTAATTTGTTTAGGACTTCCCTAAATTGCTGAGGCTGGTCTTGAATTTATAATCCTCCTGTCTCAGCTTCCTGAGCTGCTGGAATTACAGATATGCACTACAACACTTGGCACATCTTGATTCTTTTAAACAATTTTCGTTTTGTTTCATTTTTTGATTCCAGTTCATAGTGCATCACCAGAAAAATGACTTGCTGGTTAGAGAAATTTAACCATTATTTATCCTTGGATTTTTGAGTGACAATTCATTTGAAATAATAGCCATGCTATTGTTGCTAGTAGATGAATTAACAACAACAAAAAATATAAGTCAAGGAAAGAGCATTAACCACAAAAAGATTTGAGGTACCTAAAATATACTTGTTTTCTCCAATATACACCTTGACTTTAACTTCCTTGAGGATACAATTTTGCTCTTTCCAGATGTGAAAAAGCTATCATTCTGACAGGTTCTGAAGGATATGGAATATAGGTCTCAGGACATTTCCCCTATTTACAGTAGTTCCCCCACCTGCCTTGTCTGGGGTAAAATTGAAGCTTATGTCATTTAAAAGCCTAAACCTCAGACAAAGGGAAGGAACACAAAAGGAACTCACACCTGACTGGCACGTGACCCTCCACCCTAATGTGTCAGCTGACTCCAATATAATAAGCCGCAGGAAATTCCCTATCCATACTCCTGTCCCATCTTAATAGATCAGCTGACTCCAATACAATGAAATTCAGGAACTACCATCCTGTCCAACCCTGAATGAAGCCTATAAAACTCAGACCTTTACTTAAGCCCATTGCCATTTTCTGCCCCCTAAATGAGCCCCATCAGCTGTTTGATGGATTGACTCTGCCTCTGAATAAAAAAGAGCTTGCTGATACAAGGTCTGCCTCCTGCCTCCATCATCTTGTGCTTACAGGTGCAATATGTAAAATCAAATCCTAAGAAAGAGGGACTGATGCATAGTCATGGAGTGGCAGTAGGAGGATTGTATGTCTCAGAGACATGGACCTGTAAGTGGTGTCTCCCTTTATGAGAAGGTGAAAATCTCCAAGAGAATTTCAGTGGATAAGAAATCAAGGATCTGTCTCAACCTGTTCCTAAATCTAAAGTTAACCTCAGAATATAATGAAACACCTGTCTGAGTTACAACTTTAAAAATTCAGAAATATACAAAGCTGAGCTGGTACATGTCTGTTGATCTACCTTCTGTATCCTTGCTAAATTACACATACATCCAAAAATCCCTAGTAAATTTAAGTCCATCAGTTATCTGATTTCATCTCAAATGTATATAATTCATTATATAAACTTCAATAAAATCACAGAGTTCCTGGAATTACCCTTAATCTCCACATTCACATTTTTTTTTTCAGTACTACAAATTGAGCTCACTCACCCTCTATTTATTTATTTATTTATTTATTTATTTAGATAGATAGATAGATAGATAGATAGATAGTGTCTTGTTAAGTTGCTCAGGCTGGTCTGGATCTTGTGATCTTCCTGCCTCA